GACATCAGTGACCGGTGAAATGCATTCAATCCCTGACTGTTGGGACCAGGGGCATGCATAAAGCTAGACAGGGGTGCGCCCATCCTGCTTTAAAAGTAACCTTTGTTAAGCATCTCTGTTTAGCACTGATTAATAACAGGTTTCCCTTTAGTAAATAAGAGAGTAAGTTTTTTAAAGAATAGCACATTTTTTTCTTTTTTTTTTTTTTTTTTTTTTTGAGATAGAGTCTCGCTCTGTCATCCAGGCAGGAGTGCAGTGGTGTGATCTTGGCTCCCTACAACCTCTGCCTCCTGGGTTCAAATGATTCTCCTGCCTCAGCCTCCCAAGTAGCTGGGATTACAGGCACTTGCCACCACACCAGCTAATTTTTTTTGTATTTTTAGTAGAGATGGGGTTTTGCCATGTTTGCTAGGCTGATCTCGAAAGCCTGACCTCAGATTATCCACCTGTCTCAGCCTTCCAAAGTGCTGGGATTACAGGTGTGAGCCACTGCGCCCAGCCAAAATAGCACATTCTTATCTCCACCTTCTTTCTGTCATTTTGGATGCCCTGGGTCTTGTCTTCTCTCCCCTACAGGTTTTGCGTATGTCCATGTATATTGCTTCTGGCTATGATTGAGGATTTATCTTGAAATAATTGGAAATTATCTCAAATTCACAGTAGCATATTAATTAAAATAATGGGAAAGCTAAAATTATCTATACAAATACAAGGCATTTGTAATAACACTTTACTATTAAAAATCAGAATGCGTAAAGATACAAAGCATATTCTTCCACTACTTCCACCCATTTTTATTTCCCAGTGGCACAGTCCTGTTAACACAGCAGAAAATAAGATTTTTTTAATATGTTGATAAAGAAGAAGTTATATTAACTTCCATTCAAAAAAAAAAGTATGGAAATATTTGACAGGGCCCAAGGATGCAGTTACCCAATTCATTGTTACAGGTTTTTTTAAAAACAGTAAAATTGTAAAAAAAAAAAAAAAAAAAAAAAAAAAAAAAGAAAAAGAAAAGAAAAAAAAGTCAAATGAGATTTTTTTAAATGAAAAAAAGAGCTCATGAGATTATAATCACTTCTATCTGCTTCTAGTCTACGAACAAAAACAGTACAGAAACACTCTGTCTGGAAGCCTAGGAGAATTGAAATTCACTTGCCTTTTAGAACATTTTGGGTAGAAATTTTATGAAAAACAGTGTTACTCTGCTCTTCTTAATTGTAATACATTTGTTTTTGTGTTTGGATGATAACTTAGTATTTATTCTGAGTATCAGTAACTGTACAGTGTTTATAAAGCCAGTGATGCTTTTAGGGCATGAGTTTTGATTCCCTGAAAAGGGTACATTTGGCTCTTGTGTGTGTATCTACCACTTCATAGCACCGAGGCCTTTGGCAAGCTGTGTTAGCTCTCATATCTGTGTTGTAACCTCCAAGTGGGTGGAACGGCACTGGCTCAATACTGCTATTAGGAGGAATTGGCAAGGGCATGTTCTTTTAAAGGACTTAACTGGCCAGTCCTTAGGAGCCAGGCTGTGCACAGGTCCTGAATGCGGGGCGTCTGCGTGGCTCCTGGGGAGAACGGTGGGCTCTCAGGTCTCTGTAGTGCCAAGAATGTGAGCATGCCAGACAGCTCCAAATACACAGGCTGTGACAACACACATGAGCTCATTTAAGGTAATCCTGGTAAATCAGGGTACAAAGGCCTAGAATTGATGAGAATCAAAGGCAAGCCAAGAGATAATTCCAAAAATAAACCCTTTTTCATTGAAAAAGCCTGGCTATCTGAATGTGAAGAGTCTTGAACGTTGTAATGACAGTTGCTCGTTTCAAATAGTTGCACAGCCCTGAATTCTCAAAGTGTTTAGGAATCAAATGTTTGTTCTCATGATGTTTTAGGTATCTTCCGGGCAGTACATCCCCTCCCATGGACTTGTATGTTTGCTGCTTATCTCTGAATGCAGCATAGGAAACACAGAGACCATAGCTTCCTATAGAATGGATCCGTTCAGGTAACAGAGTCTGTATACCTGTTATTTGCAAGGCTCAGTGTTGGCCATTTGGGCATTTAGAGAACTAGAAGTCATAGTCACATGGCACCTGCCCTCAGAAAGCATGTAGCTGGGGAGTAAGAGGTACTAAGCCATAGCTAGCTGTTGAAAGCGCTAACAAGTGCCAAATGACTTGCTCAGAGTCACACATGTCACCGAACTGGGCAGTAAGGAAAGGCCTTGGGGAAGAAACCTTAACAGGAAGTTGACGGTAGAGGCAGGGAAGGGCAAGAGGAGTTTGGACATGCTCGGAGAGAAGCAGCGCAGCGCGGGAGCTGCAGGAAAGCAGGAAAGCCCCACCGCCCCCAGGGCACTCCCTGGAGTGAGGCTGGTGTGCACAGTAGGCCTCAACACTCCTTGAAAACTATGCAGGACCCCAAAGAGCACTGTTTACGTGAATTTAGCTATCGCTATTGACCTATTTGAAATTAAACCAGAGAAATGTTTAAACATGTATATATTAATTTCTTAAAATAATAATGAACCTAGGCCGGGCGCTGTGGCTCAAGCCTGTAATCCCAGCACTTTGGGAGGCCGAGGTGGGTGGATCACAAGGTCAAGAGATCGAGACCATCCCATCCTGGTCAACATGGTGAAACCCCGTCTCTACTAAAAAATACAAAAAAATTAGCTGGGCATGGTGGCACGTGCCTGTAATCCCAGCTACTCAGGAGGCTGAGGCAGGAGAATTGCTTGAACCCAGGAGGTGGAGGCTGCGGTGAGCCGAGATCGCGCCATTGCACTCCAGCCTGGGTAACGAGAGCGAAACTCCGTCTCAAAAAATAATAATAATAATAATAATAATAATAATAATAATAATAATGAACCTATTACATTTTAACAGAAATGAGGTAGCCACATTGGCCAGGCACAGTGGCTCACACCTGTAATCCCAGCACTTTGGAAGGCTGAGGCAAGTGGATCACTTGAGGCCAGGAGTTTGAGACTAGCCTGGCCAACGTAGTGAAACCCCGTCTCTACTAATATTACAGAAATTAGCTGGGTGTGGTGGTGCACACCTGTAGTCCCAATTACTCAGGAGGCTGAGGCACAGGAATCATTTGTATCCAGAAGGCAGAGGTTGCAGGCACGATCATGCCACTGCTTTCCAGCCTAGGCAACAGAATGAGATCAGTCTCAAAAAGAAAGAAAAAATAGCCCTGTTGTCCAAAACAAAAACTAATTTACTGCGAAGAATGGCATCATTCTTTATTTTTGCAAATCGCTGTAATGTCTGGTTTAATATGAGACATTAACTCAAGGAGTCTCCTATCTGCATCTGCATTCGGTCTGTTGCCATGTGTTGCTTTGGTGGAGGTGTGGGGAAGGCATGGTTGGGAAGGGAGGAGTATTTTAGTAACCTTTTCAGATAGTTGTGGACACTTGCTTTGATATAACATCAAAACTTAGCATGAATAGTTTCTTAAAGTAATCTGTAATGTGGAATCTGAAACCATATCAGTGAGAGCAGGTCTGTAAATTTTATTCCATTAAATCAATGGTACATTGCACTTTGGATGGCTCTTCTGCCCTAGAATGGTATTAACACTGTTTATTAATCGTTTAGAAAATGCTTGTTAATCAAGTTATGCAACTCTCCTAAAACATTTTGCAAATTTTTTTTTCTTTTTTTTGAGACAGAGTTTCGCTCTTGTTACCCAGGCTGGAGTGCAATGGCGCGATCTTGGCTCACCGCAACCTCCTCCTCCTGGGTTCAGGCAATTCTCCTGCCTCAGCCTCCTGAGTAGCTGGGATTACAGGCACGCGCCACTGTGCCCAGCTAATTTTTTGTATTTTTAGTAGAGACGGGGTTTCACCATGTTGACCAGGATGGTCTTGATCTCTTGACCTCGTGATCCACCCGCCTCCGCCTCCCAAAGTGCTGGGATTACAGGCGTGAGCCACCGCGCCCGGCCTCATTTTGCAAATCTTTGACACATATCAGTATGTTTATCAGTAAATCCCATTCATTAATATCACCACGGATCTCCTCTTCAGCCCAAGGAAACTGTCAAGTTCACACTGGCAGATAGAAGTTTTCCAGACTTCCCAGAATACTGGACAATAATTCAGAACTTTCTTTGAATTTAGCTTCATCCACTTGCCAACCCTGCAGTGATATTCTACACCTCTTTCTTTATCTCTGTTGTGTTATTATAAAGATTAAATGAAAAGAAAGTGTCAATATGTGTAAAGTTTTAGGGTGATATCTGACCCAGGTAAGCACTGACTAAGGAATAGTTACCGTTATTGCTGCTTCTAAATTGCCATTGTCATTAACGTAAGTCATCACATGTGATATACCCTGACTGTAGACCAGCATGAGGGGAATGCAGTGTGCTTGGTGCGGCTCTAAGGTAGTAACTCTTTGAATGTGTGTAAGTAACAGTTGGCTTTGACCATCTTTGTGCCGATGCCCGTCACTCTGTTTGTCATCTAGCCAGAGTGGACAACCACCTACCCTTCCCCTGTTGTAAGTTGAGAGCCTATAGACAGACGTAAGGAGGCACATTTCCCCCTCTGGTCTTTTTTACCTTGCCTGAACCCACCTTCTGCAGATATCACATGGTGTGAATGTGTCCACGCCCTTTGTCCAGACGTGGTCCTTATGGTTGCCTCCTGTTCCATTGCCCAACACAGGCCTGTGATGATTGCTGCTCAGGTAGTACTTGTTGAATGAACACATGTAGATGGAATTTATTTCTAACAGTGCTCTCGACATGGTTTGAAAGAGTTAAAAAGCATGGAAATGTCAGCATACCAGATATATAATATGACCAGTGACTAGCTGGGTTTTTTCTTTTTATTTTCTTTAAGGAATGTTTACCCCACCCCATGTCCTTTTTTCTTGAATCTCTATTCAAAATAAAAATAGAAGCTTAAACGTGTTTCACAGTAACTTTGGGTTAAGCACTTTTGCGATCAATATACTTTGCTTTCTGCTTTTCAGATGTTCCTCCTGCTGATCAAGAGAAGCTTTTTATCCAGAAGTTACGTCAGTGTTGCGTCCTCTTTGACTTTGTTTCTGATCCACTAAGTGACCTAAAGTGGAAGGAAGTAAAACGAGCTGCTTTAAGTGAAATGGTAGAATATATCACCCATAATCGGAATGTGATCACAGAGCCTATTTACCCAGAAGTAGTCCATATGGTAAGTGATTACAGTTTAACCAGTATGTCCCAGTCCTGATTTATAAACAGGGCAGGCCAAGACATCTGAGCCTAACACAATGCTACCCAGGAGAAGCATTCTCCGTTCCAAAATTTGTCATTGTACTTAAAGAGTGAAAATTGTCTTTGTAATGTATCCTGGATTATAATGATAATAATAGTAAGAGAAGTCAGTTGCCTTCTAGGGATCAGTCTAAGTGCTTTGTATTATTAACTCATGTAATCCTCACAACTACCCTATGGGGCAGAAATGTTAGACTTTGTATTTATTATTTTATCCTCTTTAAATTTTTTTTTAAACATTAATATAGTAGTTCCCTTATATAGTTCAGAAGTAAACATTTTGTCCTGCCATGTGCAGGAAAATTCTAATGATGGGATGGAGTTGAAATATTGACAGAACCAAGCTGGTGTCAGAATAGTCCATGCTGATTGGCTGAGAAGGCCTCCACCTGTCATGTGCTGGGATCAGGACAGCCATGCTGATTGGCTGAGAGACCTTCCTCTGTCAGTGCTTCCTCTGTCATTTGTCTGTCAATGACAGTATGTCCTGATTGGCTGAGATGGTCTAACATCCTGCAGTTAGTTCACTGTTGGTTTTATTCAGCCCCCAAATCTCAGTCCTCTGAAGTGTCAATACTTTACAGCCCAGTCCCAGGTCATTTGCAGCTGTTCTTACTGTATCCCATTGTGACTTAAGTCAGCACCACCTGGAAACACTTTATTCAATGGCATTACCAAAACTAGTACCCCCAACACACACTTACTGGGGAGCCAGTGTGGCTTAGTGTAAAATGTTAAATCCAATTTTCATTGAACTCTTTGTTAAGTTACTGATTTTTTTTCCCCAAAGCTATGTATTTCAGAATTGAGTAGACTTCTTGACCAAAAATACTTTTATTTCCTCCTTAGCATATTTGCTTTGGAAAAACATGAAAGTAATGTTCTTTGTTGTACTTCAGTCTACTGTGTCAGAGGTTGAGATCAACTTGTTTTTTTTTTTTTTTAATTTACTGTTGTTAACTCTTAAAATTCAGAATTCGCCAGCATGGCCATCATGTAGTTGGCCTTGTGGGTTCCTGTCCCAGATTTGTGCCTAAAGAATAGTTATAAGCATAAACTGAGCAGAGAATATATACCCTAAAACCTTACCAGTTCAGACTAATGACACTTGGGGAATATCTCTTTTTCTTTCATTAATTTCAACCCTCAATTTCTTTCGGAAGGCCACTCTAGCCCCAGAATCATAAAAATCTCTAATATTTTCTCCTGTTAGTTTCGTAATTTTGTTTTGCACATTACAGTTCATAATTCTTTTTTTTCCTTTTTTTAAAAAGTTGTTTTTAAGTATGGATATGTAATCATTGTATTTGATTTATGAGATATATGTGATACTTAGATAGAAGCATAGAATGTATAATGATAAATCAGGGTAATTGGGGTTTTCATCACCTCAAGCGTTTATAAATTTCTTTGTGTTAGGAGCATTCCAGTTTTTTTAAATGATGTGGGTTAGGGATAGAACTTCTTTTTTTTTTTTTTTAGTTTATTTTCTTCTAAAATTATCGAACAGTCATTTCTCCCTACATCATGTATTGAATATTTCATTTCCCCCTATTGCTTAATGCTTCCTTATTATGTATTCATTATATTTTATTATATATTAGATTTGTAAGTATATAAATTCTATATTAAGTTTACATGTAGTGGAAGATTTTTCTGTGTTTAAGAAAATATCTGATTCTCACTCTTGAGCATAAGAGGGAAGAGTCTACAAAGAATGACGAGACTCCTGTTGGCCTGGTTCAGGTCAGATGCCCACCCTTGACTCTGGCTGGCAGTTTCACAGTAGCAGTATGGGTTACTGGCACCACTTAGGATGCTGAAAAAGCCCTTGAGATTGTTTTTATGGATTACGTAATCATTGCTTCTCCTCTTCCTGTGATCGTTGTCTCCTACCTTGATTCTCCTCCTTGCCACCTTAACTTGTTTGCTACCCAGACCTCGCACTGGGCTCCCTAAGCAGTCAGCAGACACTAATTGAGCATTCCTCCATGGGCCAGGCACATTTTTGGGTGAGGAAATAAAATAGTGAGCAAGATTCCTGCCCTCATAAAGATTTCATGTTCATGTGGAGAAACAACCATAAAATAAGCCAACCAATAATATATCATTTTAGATCACGGTAATGCCATGAAAGAAAGTGATCCAGATTAAACTGATAGACTTACAGGACTGGGAATGTGATTTCTGCCTTATGCCCATGTGGTTGGGAAGAAGGCACGGAGTGAAAACTTGGTGATGAATTAGACTGTCCCTTGAAGATAGATGCACATGAAATGCTTGTGTGGTCACGGTAAGAGCAGGGGACAGTTCATTTTCCTTCCTTTCTGCTCTGATTTAAGTTCAGAAGAGAACATAGCCTTTGTCTACCCCTTGTTTGTCTGGATCTGGTGGTAGAATAGGGGGCAGTTACAGATTGGATTTTTGGTTTTGTTGTTGTTTTGTTCTGTAGCTAGAAGGCACTGATGAAAAGTAAGAGTGAAAGAAGGAAGAATACATGGTGGGGTGGTGCCTGGCCATGGTTTGTTGCCCTCTAAAAGAAGAGGGTCAGGAATTTAAGCAGCCAGTACAAGGCCTCTGTCCCAAGCAGTGCCTGGGCCTGGTGTGGCAGGTAGAAAAGGCCTGGGCCTCTTTGCGGTTCATGTCTGAGAAGCTGTGCAGCTTAGAGCCCCTGTGTGCCCAGCGCTTAAGCAGACTGAGCCGTGCCTGTTCCGTTTGTTTCTTGTTGGTGGTGGGGTGTGTATATTTTGTTCACAATATTTTTAGAGACATTAATTTCCACTTTTTTTGAAGAATCCAAAGCTCTGTAGTTGTCATACTCCTAATGCTGCTACTTTTAAGTAGACTGGACTGCTAGATGGTTGTTTTTAACCGATCTGTTGAGATATTATTCACAGATCTTACAATTCACCCATTTAAAGTATATGAGTCAGTGATTTTTAACATGAACATGGGATTGTACAACCATCATCACATCTGATTTTAGAAGTTTCATTCCCTCAAAAAGAAACCTAGTCACTGTCATTGTTCCCTCCTCCCTCACCCACTCCCAGCCCTGAGCAACCACTGATCGACTTTTTGTCTCTCTGGATTTGCCTGTTGTGAACATTTCAGATAAATGGCATTACAGACTATGTACCCTTTGCTGTCGGCCTTCCTTCACTTAGCATAATGTTTTCAAGGTTCATCCCTGTGTCAGTGCCTCATTTCTTTTTATTGCCCCATAATATTCCATGATAAAGTTGTACTGCATTTTATTTATCCATATTATCTGTTGATGGACATTGGATTATTTCCCTTTGGGGGCTGTTATGAATGACTGCTGTGAACATTGATACACAAGCATTTGTATAAACGTGTTTTCTGAATCAGCATTGATTATCTTTGTACACCTGGCAACCTGTAAAGGCTGTTCACTCTGGAGTGTCTGCTTATCTGCAGCCAAATCCCAAAGTGCTGGAGGGGCCAGGCCAGTGTCAGATTCTTTAATACCAGTGAGCTCATTACTTTTCTTGAGAAGCTGCTGAATGTCATCTTCAACTTGCTTGATCTGCTTAGAATAAGTGCTCTGACTGTAAGTTTTCAGCAAGGCAATATCCCCCTCATCCAGAGCTCGGATGGGCTTGTCGTCCTTCTCATCCTCTTTGGTCTTCCGCTGATCGGCACCGAGGTAATCCGGCATTTTAACAGCTCCAACTGCCTCCACTCCTTAATGATTACGCAGCACCTTCCTTGCTTCCGGTGGTGTTCAAACATGTATTTTCTTTTTTTTTTTTTTTATTGCATTTTAGGTTTTGGGGTACATGTGATGAACATGCAAGATTGTTGCATAGGTACACACATGGCAGTGTGCTTTGCTTCCTTCCGTCCCCTCACCTGTATCTGTCATTTCTCCCCATGCTATCTCTTCCCACCTCCCCACCCCCCGCCCCTCCCCCATTTCCCCCCAACGGATCCCAGTGTGTAGTGCTCCCCTCCCTGTGTCCATGTGTTCTCATTGTTCAACACCCGCCTATGAGCGAGAATATACGGTGTTTGATTTTCTGCTCTTGTGTCAGTTTGCTGAGAATAATGGTTTCCAGGTTCATCCATGTCCCTACAAAGGATGTGAACTCATCGTTTTTGATGGCTGCATAATATTCCATGGTGTATATGTACCACATTTTCCCTATCCAGTCTATCATCGTTGGGCATTTGGGTTGGTTCCAGGTCTTTGCTATTGTAAACAGTGCTGCAATGGACATTCGTGTGCATGTGTCCTTGTAGTAGAATGATTTATAATCCTTTGGATATATACCCAGTAATGGGATTGCTGGGTCAAATGGGATTTCTATTTTTAGGTCATTGAGGAATCGCCACACTGTCTTCCACAATGGTTGAATTAATTTACATTCCCACCAACAGTGTAAAAGTGTTCCTATTTCTCCACATCCTCTCCAGCATCTGTTGTTTCCCGATTTTTTAATGATCGCCATTCTAACTGGTGTGAGATGGTATCTCAATGTGGTTTTGATTTGCATTTCTCTGATGACCAGTGATGATGAGCATTTTTTCATATGTTTGCTGGCCTCCCGTATGTCTTCTTTTGTAAAGTATCTGTTCATATCCTTTGCCCATTTTTGAATGGGCTTGTTTGCTTTTTTCTTGTAGATCTGCTTTAGTTCTTTGTAAATTCTGGATATCAGCCCCTTGTCAGATGGGTAGACTGCAAAAATTTTTTCCCATTCTGTTGGTTGCCGATTCACTCTACTGACTGTTTCTTTTGCTGTGCAGAAGCTGTGGAGTTTGATTAGGTCCCATTTGTCTATTTTGGCTTTTGTTGCCATTGCTTTTGGCGTTTTGGTCATGAAGTCCTTGCCTACACCTATGTCCTGAATGGTTTTGCCTAGATTTTCTTGTAAGGTTTTTATGGTATTAGGTCTGATGTTTAAGTCTTTAATCCATCTGGAGTTAATTTTGGTGTAAGGTGTCAGGAAGGGGTCCTGTTTCTGCTTTCTGCACATGGCTAGCCAGTTTTCCCAACACCATTTATTAAACAGGGAATCCTTTCCCCATTGCTTGTTTTTGTCAGGTTTGTCGAAGATCAGATGGTTGTGGGTATGTTGTATTTCCTCTGAGGCCTCTGTTCTGTTCCATTGGTCTGTATCTCTGTTTTGGTACCAGTACCATGCTGTTTTGATTACTGTAGCCTTGTAGTATAGTTTGAAGTCCGGTAGTGTGATGCCTCCTGCTTTGTTCTTTTTGCTTAGAATTGACTTGGCTATGCGGGCTCTCTTTTGGTTCCATATGAAGTTTAAGGTGTTTTTTTCCAGTTCTGTGAAGAAGGTCATTGGTAGCTTGATGGGAATAGCGTTGAATCTGTAAATTACTCTGGGCAGTATGGCCATTTTTACGATGTTGATTCTTCCTAACCATGAACATGGAATGTTTCTCCATCTGTTTGTATCCTCTCTTATTTCGTTGAGCAATGGCTTGTAGTTCTCCTTGAAGAGGTCCTTTACATTCCTTGTTAGTTGTATTCCTAGGTACTTTATTCTCTTTGTAGCAATTGTGAATGGCAGTTCGTTCTTGATTTGGCTCTCTTGAAGTCTATTACTGGTGTATAGGAATGCTTGTGATTTTTGCACGTTGATTTTGTATCCTGAGACTTTGCTGAAGTTGTTTATCAGTTTCAGGAAATTTTGGGCTGAGATGATGGGGTCTTCCAGATATACAATCATGTCATCTGCAAATAGAGACAATTTGATTTCCTCCTTTCCAATTTGGATACCCTTTATTTCTTTTTCTTGCCTGATTGCTCTGGCTAAAACTTCCAGTACTATATTGAATAGGAGTGGTGAGAGAGGGCATCCTTGTCTAGTGCCAGATTTCAAAGGGAATGCTTCCAGTTTTTGCCCATTCAGTATGATATTGGCTGTTGGTTTGTTGTAAATAGCTTTTATTGTTTTGAGATACGTTCCGTCAATACCTAGTTTATTGAGGGTTTTTAGCATAAAGGGTTGTTGAATTTTGTCAAAAGCCTTCTCTGCATCAATCGAGATAATCATGTGGTTTTTGTCTTTGGTTCTGTTTATGTGGTGGATTACGTTTATGGACTTGCGTATGTTGAACCAGCCTTGCATCCCCGGGATGAATCCTACTTGATCATGGTGGATGAGCTTTTTGATATGCTGTTGCAATCGGTTTGCCAGTATTTTATTGAAGATTTTTGCATCTATGTTCATCATGGATATTGGCCTGAAATTTTCTTTTCTTGTTGAGTCTCTGCCGGGTTTTGGTATCAGGATGATGTTTGTCTCGTAAAATGATTTGGGAAGGATTCCCTCTTTTTGGATTGTCTGGAGTAGTTTCAGAAGGAATGGTATCAGCTCCTCCTTGTATGTCTGGTAGAATTCAGCTGTGAACCCATCTGGACCTGGACTTTTTTTGGGTGGTAGGCTCTTTATTGCTGCCTCGACTTCAGACCATGTTATTGGTCTATTCAGGGTTTCGGCTTCTTCCAGGTTTAGGCTTGGGAGGTTGCAGGTGTCCAGGAATTTATCCATTTCTTCCAGGTTTACTAGTTTATGTGCATAGAGTTGTTTGTAATAATCTCTGATGATGGTTTGGATTTCTGTGGAATCTGTGGTGATATCACCTTTATCGTTTTTTATTGCATCAATTTGGTTATTCTCTCTTTTCTTTTTTATTAATCTGGCTAGTGGTCTGTCTATTTTGTTGATCTTTTCAAAAAACCAGCTCCTGGATTTATTGATTTTTTTGAAGAGTTTTTTGTGTCTCTATTTCCTTCAGTTCTGCTCTGATCTTAGTTATTTCCTGTCTTCTGCTAGGTTTTGAGTTTTTTTGATCTTGCTCCTCTAGCTCTTTCAATTTTGATGATAGGGTGTCAATTTTAGATCTCTCCTTTCTTCTCATGTGGGCACTCATTGCTATATATTTTCCTCTGGAGACTGCTTTAAATGTGTCCCAGAGATTCTGGTATGTTGTGTCTTCATTCTCATTGGTTTCGAAGAACATCTTTATTTCTGCCTTCATTTCATTGTTTATCCAGTCAACATTCAAGAGCAAGTTGTTCAGTTTCCATGAAGCTGTGCAGTTCTGAGTTAGTTTCTGCATTCTGAGTTCTAACTCGATTGCACTGTGGTCTGAGAGACTGTTTGTTATGATTTCTGTTCTTTTGCATTTGCTGAGGAGTGATTTATTGCCAATTATGTGGTCAATTTTAGAGTAGGTGTGATGTGGTGCTGAGAAGAATGTATATTCTGTGGATTTGGGGTGGAGAGTTCTGTAAATGTCTATTAGGTTTGCTTGTTCCAGGTCTGTATTCAGGTCCTGGATATCCTTGTTGATTTTCTGTCTGGTTGATCTGTCTAATATTGACAATGGGGTGTTAAAGTCTCCCACTATTATTGTGTGGGAGTCTAAGTCTCTTTGTAAGTCATTAAGAACTGGCCTTATGTATCTGGGTGCTCCTGTATTGGGTGCGTATATATTTAGGATCGTTAGCTCTTCTTGTTGCATTGATCCTTTTACCATTATGTAATGTCCTTCTTTGTCTCTTTTGATCTTTGTTGCTTTAAAGTCTGTTTTATCAGAGATGAGAATTGCAACTCCTGCCTTTTTTTGCTCTCCATTTGCTTGGTAGATCTTCCTCCATCCCTTTATTTTGAGCCTTTGTGTATCCTTGCATGTAAGATGGGTTTCCTGGATACAGCACACTGATGGGTTTTGGCTTTTTATCCAATTTGCCAGTCTGTGTCTTTTGGTTGGGGCATTTAGTCCATTTACATTTAGGGATAGTATTGTTATGTGTGAATTTGATGCTGTCATTTTGATGCTACCTGGCTGTTTTGTTGGTTAGTTGATGCAGATTCTTGATTGTGTTGATGCTTTTTTACCATTTGGTGTGTTTTTGGAGTGGCTGGTACTGGTTGTTCCTTTACATGTGTAGAGCCTCTTTCAGGAGTTCTTGTAGAGCAGGTTTGGTGGTGATGAAATCTCTGAGTGCTTGCTTGTTCACAAAGGATTTTATTTTTCCTTCACTTATGAAGCTTAGTTTGGCTGGATAGGAGATTCTGGGTTGAAAGTTCTTTTCTTTGAGCATGTTGAATATTGGCCCCCAATCTCTTCTGGCTTGTAGGGTTTCTGCTGAGAGATCTGCTGTGAGTCTAATGGGCTTCCCTTTGTGGGTAACCCGACCTTTCTCTCTGGCTGCCCTTAGGATTTTCTCTTTCATTTCAACCCTGGTGAATCTGACGATTATGTGCCTTGGGGTTGCTCTTCTTGAGGAATATCTTTGTGGTGTTCTCTGTATTTCCTGGATTTGAATATTGGTCTGCCTTGCTAGGTTAGGGAAGTTTTCCTGGATAATATCCTGAAGAGTATTTTCCAGCTTGGATTCATTCTCTTCATCACATTCAGGTCCACCTATCAGACGTAGATTAGGTCTTTTCACATAGTCCCACATTTCTTGAAGATTTTGTTCATTCCTTTTTGTGCTTTTTTCTCTGTTCTTGCCTTCTCTTTTTATTTCATTGAGTTGATCTTCGACCTCTGATATCCTTTCTTCTGCTTGGTCAATTCGGCTGTTGAAACTTGTGCATGCTTCACGAAGTTCTCGTGTTGCGTTTTTCAGCTCCATCAATTCATTTATACTCCTCTCTATGCTGTCCATTCTCGTCAGCAGTTCGTCCAATCTTTTTTCAAGGTTCCTATTTTCTTTGCGATGGGTTAGAACATGTT